CGCACCGTTGGCTTCGTACCGTAGTGGAAGAGCAGTGAGAGTAGTGAGGTATACTGCTGCCCTCCGTGCACTCAGAGAAGTGGTAGCGAGGTCGGGGCGTAACCCCCAGGAGTACGCGTTGCAATCGTTGCGAATTGGAGGCGCGACGGCTCTTGCATCGGGCGGAGACATCGCAGAACGAGTGATTCAGAGAGAAGGGAAGTGGAGGTCGGATGCATACAAGCCGTACGCGCGAAACAATGTAGAGGATTCGCGGCGAGTGTCACGGAAACTTACAGACGGCAGTAGGATCGTATCGAGACAGCCGGGGGAGGGGACCGTCTGGGGGAACGGATAGTTGACTTATTCGGTAGTCGTCCAGAAACTGACCTCGATGTGGGTGTTGTAGAATGGTGTGTACCATTTGAGGACTTGGTCAGTTTTGGGATTCCTGCGTTTGCAGTCGTAGTCCCCCGGCTAGTATTTGTGGGGAGAGAGATGGATTTGTAAGAGTTGACGCCGGCCTTTGCAGCTAACGCGGCCGGAGAGACGATGAGCGTTTCGTGCGTCTCTCTCCCCAACACGTAGCCTAGAAACCGAAGAAATAATGAAGCAATTCGAAAGAAAACAAAATAAAAGGAAGGTTTGTTCGTCGAAGCAGATAGAATAAACTGGTGTTTATTTTGTAACAGTCGAATTAGAATTTGGCTTCATTTTCTACCGGAAACCCAGGGTCACGGTGTTTGGAATTATTAGTCTATAGTTGGGGGTGTCATTCCGTGATCGAGTCCACGCAGGGGCTGTAGCAAAGTCGGGTAACGTGTGACAGCTACAGAGCGCGTGAAGCAACGGAAGGACAGCAGCAGCCGCCTAACGCAGTAGCGGCGGCAGTTTAGAAAATCCCGCCCTCCCATCCCTTTTCTTTCGAAGGTGGGGGCATAAGTTCGGGAATATTCGGTATCTAGTCAGGTGTTGTAGAATGGTGTGTACCATTTGAGGACTTGGTCAGTTTTAGGACTCCTGCGTTTGCAGTCGTAGTCCCCCGGCTAGTATTTGTGGGGAGAGAGATGGATTTGTAAGAGTTGACGCCGGCCTTTGCAGCTAACGCGGCCGGAGAGACGATGAGCGTTTCGTGCGTCTCTCTCCCCAACACGTAGCCTAGAAACCGAAGAAATAATGAAGCAATTAGAAAGAAAACAAAATAAAAGGAAGGTTTGTTCGTCGAAGCAGATAGAATAAACTGGTGTTTATTTTGTAACAGTCGAATTAGAATTTGGCTTCATTTTCTACCGGAAACCCAGGGTCACGGTGTTTGGAATTATTAGTCTATAGTTGGGGGTGTCATTCCGTGATCGAGTCCACGCAGGGGCTGTAGCAAAGTCGGGTAACGTGTGACAGCTACAGAGCGCGTGAAGCAACGGAAGGACAGCAGCAGCCGCCTAACGCAGTAGCGGCGGCAGTTTAGAAAATCCCGCCCTCCCATCCCTTTTCTTTCGAAGGTGGGGGCATAAGTTCGGGAATATTCGGTATCTAGTCAGGTGTTGTAGAATGGTGTGTACCATTTGAGGACTTGGTCAGTTTTGGGACTCCTGCGTTTGCAGTCGTAGTCCCCCGGCTAGTATTTGTGGGGAGAGAGATGGATTTGTAAGAGTTGACGCCGGCCTTTGCAGCTAACGCGGCCGGAGAGACGATGAGCGTTTCGTGCGTCTCTCTCCCGCAACACGTAGCCTAGAAACCGAAGAAATAATGAAGCAATTCGAAAGAAAACAAAATAAACTCTTTTTTGGTTCGCTGGGTTCTTGAGTCAAACACGTCGTGCACATCTCTTTTTTGGTTCGCTGGGCTCTTAGAGTCAAACACGTCAGCTTACAAGCTTACACGAGCTGTTGATGATGAGCTTGCTTTGGAACACTTGGGAACGTCACAACCGCGGCTCTCGAACTACAGCATTCGCAAATTAATATATGCTGGTACACGTATAGTATTTGCGTATGATGTGTACATGACACATGTACCCAACTTCTGCAGTGCCGTGAGCGCGGCTCCACGTACTCAATCTTCTTGTGAGTTACGCCGACAGAGACTTCCAGCGCATCATTTTGATTATTACAGACAGAAATGAATGGTCGTCGTCGTCCGTTGTTTCACCAGAAAATAGAGTATACCCTCGTACATACTACATATATTGAACTACAAGTAGAATATGAGTCCCCCGATCAGTCACGCGCAACCGACATTATAAAGAGGCCGACAACATGTCGCAAATGATTGACAGCATCGAGCATAGGCGCACAGCAGTATACATACGTTGGTCGTACTTATACTTGTAATCGGATTGGGATGGGTAGGGTTGTGGGTAGGGTGGGGTAGCTTTTGGGTTTGGTCGGTCCGTTGGTCGGGTTGGGTCGGTCGGTCGGTCGGTCGGTCGGTCAGTCGGTCGGGTTGAGGTTGATGGGTTGTGTTTTTGGGTAGAGTCCGCAGGGGTAGGGTTGGCTCAGTCGGTTGGTCGAGTTGTTTTTGGGGGTTGGATTGGGCTGGTTTTTTGGGGGGTTGGGGTTGGTTATAGGGTAGGGTAGGGTTGTTTTGGTCGGTCGGGTTGGGGTTGGGTTGTGTTAGGTTGGGTAGGTCGGTCGGTTCTTTCTTCTTTTGGAGACGTCTTGATTGGGGCGTGGTCGTTACATGTGTCGCCTATTGCATGTTGCAGTTAGTTCACTTGGGATCAGGCGGGTTTTTGGGTTGTGTTGTCTTTGCTCTGGGGTGTTGATGATGGGTTCGTCTTCACCCGACCGTATCGGGTTGGGTTGAATTGGGTTGAGGTTGGGTCGCCGCCGACGATCGCGCCGTCGCTTCGTCGTTCGTCGCCGTTGGGTAGGTTTGGGTATAGGGTTGGGTAGGGTCGGGTCGGTCGGTCGGTCGGCCGGGCGGCGTCGGGTCGCATTCGGCGATCGCGCCGCCGTCGTTCCGTCGATCGTCGAAGTTGATCGCCCTTGAAACTAAGTAATATGTAGAGGACACTTACTTAGTGTTCTCGCAGGCGCAACCCCGCCTGCCTGGGCTCGGGTCTACGTAGTAACGAAGTGAAGGGACGGAGTCCAAATGCCAGGCGACGCAACAATCAATGTTACTGTAGTTGGGGGGAAACAAAGATATTTAAGTAGGAACAGGCCCGCTGGTCCTTGCTTGGCGTCACGCACCTGTTGTTGCAGTCAGTTTACGTTTATGTGCTCTTCGCACCAACCAGTAAGTAAAAAGTGAGGACGGGGGTTGAAACCTTGATCACCGTAACCAACTAATATACAAATATCCATGTAGCGCTCATGCAATTCGCGGACACTACAATGTTGGTTCCATTACAGCCTTGCGATTAAGGCGCGCGCTACACACACGGAATTGGCAACTAAGTTCATGGAGAGAGCAATTATTGGATTATGTTTGATGGGATGACAACACTTACTCTCTTGTCATCCATGTTGCCTAGAAGACATGATGAGGGTCCTACACACGCGGTTGATGCTAATAATAATCAAAACACACACACGGAGCTCGTCAGAACGTCAGCGCGAAGGATTTAGGCCGTCATCTTCTGGTGTACTTCGTCGTATTAGACTAATAGTTGGTTGCGCCGGTCAGACCGGGACGGTGACGCCAACAACAACAAAACAAGCAACAAACAAAGGCACGCACCGTCCTGTTTTATACAGCGTTCAACCCCAACACAAATCCGGCACCATATCCATCGCTGTCCATTCCTCAGCGTGACCGTCCCCTTGATCCCGAATACCGAGACGCGAGGTCAACGACACGTCGTTTCGTCTGCAGGGCACAATAAAAGAGCGAAACTCCGTGGGTACAGCGTGGGCAGGAGGGGGGCAGGCGGTGACTATCCCTGCGGAAAGCCCTAGAAATGATTAAACACGGGCAAAAACACTAACTTCTACCATGAGCTGTGACGGTAGCTACATCAGCCACCGGACAAACACCAATCCAACGATAAAAGCAAGCACCAATGAACCACTGTCGTCCGGTAGAAAAGGCTTCACCACCGCTATCATTCCGTACGCCGCCCACACCACCAAGCCCAGCACAAGCAAGCATTGTGCCGCTTCGATAGCCCATCTTCTCGCGGTTTTCAACCTGCGGCGATAGTTGATGCCATCCTGTGGACATCAAGGGAAACACGACAAGCAAGTTCGACGAAAGATAAAGCACTACGGAAGCTGGGTTGGGATACGTTCAACGGTTTCGTGCATCACATCAAGTGAACTAGTGGCCACCGTTGCGAAGAAGCAGCACACGGCCTACATCATCTACACCTACACGCACTCTACCCTACACGCAAATCACGTTGGCACGGTACTGTACAGTGTCAGGAATGGGGACGGGCAACGACTGTATAGAAAAATAATACAAGGAGATAAAGGGAATCATGCGACAGCGTCGTCACTGAAACACCGTTTTCCTCGACGACCTTCCCGTCCGAACACAGACCGTACGTTCGTTTCAGTTATACCCTACGCCGCTGAAATCACGGTTTTCGCAAGCATACCGTGAGGTTGTCCGCTCAAGACGATTTGTGACGATCGTTCGCGAGCGTTTCTGCACTTTTCGTAACTTTCTGTGTATCATGGCTCAAACGGAATACAAAATACGATGGGCGATATCAAGATAAGTCGTGCAAGCGCTTGGGGCGCCGATTTTGGTCTCGTCAGCGTCTCGACAACTGACCCGAGAGGCAGTTCGGGAAAACACTTTCTGAGGACACAATAATTATTCAAGCATTTTTTTCATTCAGAACGTGCTGATATCGTTCGTATTGATCGCCGGGACTTCGCGCAACTGCTCAACTACGGTTTGGGCCACTTGGGACACCAGTATCGTGTGGAATCTTGTGAAAGGGGCAGAGATAGCGACATTGGACACCCAGGGTAAGAGGCCCCCACGACATTCTGCTACACCACTAAAGAGCCACAAGAACATATGTTCACACAAAGCTGCCTTTAGAAGCTCTTACCGCCCTGGCACGCATGGGTTGGAAATTCCACACGTGTTCCCAATCAACATTGGGTCGAAAACTGCACGCTCGTGCTAGACTTCTTGCGCATTTCGGAGGAAAGCGGTGCTGCAACCGATTCTTCACACTGCACAAAAAGGTGGTTCCATGGTGCTTGTACGTAAGGACGTGACAATGCTAACTTTACGGTTGTAAAACATTATTCGGAGATTGAACAAAAGTGATCCGCTTTGCGCGTTTCCTAGACCCCGGGATGCCAACTCTTTTCCCCGGGCTAAGGGCTAACGAGAATCATATGTCAAATATACCCCGCTGCCCCCGGGTTTTTTCACATGGAAAAAAGAAACTACAAATGACTTCAAACATTACGAGGAAGGAGAGCGCAAATTTTCAGTTTTTAGGGCGTACTTCGTACTACAGAGGGAGAGAGAGTGGCCGTTCCCGCCGTTGTGCCCTAACCCCCCCCCAAGACCAAATTTCGTGTTTATCTGCTGGCGGACCCCATTTTTCACAACGCCACCATACTTCTTCCCAGTATTGTTTTCGTTGTTTTAGTGCACACTGACCGAAGTGGTAGTTTCATATGTTCATCGTGGCGCTCGTATTTGCTCAATAGCTGTCTCACGAAGCCCTTCACATTCTCAGCATTGGGTCGAAACGAATTTATTGGAAGCCTTCAAGCGACAAACGGCGGGCGAGCGGCGAGAGAACGATGACATCGTGCTAGGCAAGCCCACCCGAGAGGATTGCACCCTAAGCAATCACCGCTTCGAGCTCGCAGTAGCCGTGCTAGAGCTACATGCGATCGTCCGTTACCTCGTTTAACATCCTCTTGAGTCTCGCCGCTGTTGGTCGCTTCGTCAGTTCACGGTGCCAGCCTTGCCCCATCACACCAATGAGGTTGGGCGGTGCATCTTGTGGAATCGGTGGGCGTGTGCCTTCGAGAACGGCGGACATGATGTAATCCTTGGATTGGGGCTCCCCCGTGTGTTTGTCCCTCCATGGCTTATCCACAGCTACCAGTTCCCAGCAAATAATCGCAAACCTGACGTTATGGCGGTGAATATGTTGATAAAGCCATATGTCAGCACAGCGAGGATTCAACCGGGTGTCCAAGCACAAGTCAAATTCTCACGGGTTTTGGTTTCGAGCCTGGCAGAGTAAATGTGCAGTGTTCTGCCTCGAAATACAAGCGATACACAAATGCGATTGCAAGTGCACCCCAACAGACCTGATCTATCCTGCAAAAGCAGCAACGGTGCCTCCAATTCAGCCGCATTATCGGGCACACGAACACGCCTGGACAAGGTCGTATTGATGGGATACAGTTTAGTGACTCACGCATAGACGTCCCGTTCCCAGCCACCCGGCTTGCCCTTTAGGATTCTCTTGTCGAATACCTCAGGGGCGGCATGGCTGTGAGTCGTAAAATTGTACGCCTTTGTTGTTGCGTCATTCTCGCCCTTCGTCAAGCCAAAGTCTGCTATCTGTCATGCGGCATGCAAGCAAGTGGGCAATTAGCACGAACAGCTTCCAGGCAGCATATAGGTCGACCCTGAATACTACAACAGGCCGTTGATACGTCACAAACGCGCTAGGAAAAAAGCGAAAAGAGAAAGCAACCCCCGCACAACAACATTAGTTGCACGTTTTTCGACGCCCCCCGCGACGGCAACCGCTTGCCCCACGTAATTCGCGATGGGAGGTACGACTTTCCGACAAACGTTCTGTCTCTTTCCCCCTCCCCCAGAGATGTGAAATGCTGACTACGCGGCGAGTTTAGGGGAGCTTTCGGTGCGGACCACCTGCGGATCACCCGGGCAGCAACATAAACCATCGAGGGGACGCACGTGCGGCGACACATGACGCAGCGAGGGTGTCTCAAAAACGAAAACATGACCAACCTTCGCTTCCAAGTTCTCGCTTAAAAGCACGTTGGCACTCTTGAGATCTCGGTGCACCAAACCCTTGTCGTGAATATACGCCATGCCATCACATATGTCTCGAAGGAATCCAAGCCTGTGCTTCTCCAACTTGTCCTTGTTGTCCTTGTTGTCCTTGCAACTGCTGATAAATGTCGCCAGATCTCCGCCAGGCATGTACTCCATCATCAACATCATCTGTGCGCGAGCGGATTGGTGGGGTTGAGTATTGAAACGTCAGGTAGCTTGGTTCGATTACAGAAATGTAGTCACACCATGCATTCACGTGCTAACCCATACTCTTCATAAATTGAACCGTTCATAAGTAGCTTGCGTGGAAATGTGTAAGGACGCAGACTAACGCGCGTGCGTGAACTTGCCCGATGCTCTGATGTCGGGCCGCCAATTATTATGCGTACAATGTGCGCTGATTCGTTGAGCAGCGTCTTCATAACCTCTAGCTCGGTGGTGGGCGTCTCGCCATTGGTGATCTTCTTGACTGCGCGATTTTTACCGAGGTAGTCGACGAGGTAGACCTGGTATTGCCGACACGGGGGAGAATCGTTAGGGATGTAATTATTCAGTGTTCCACGAAATATCGGGCAAAACAGGTCGCAGGAGAAGTTCCCAAAGTGCAAGCTAGGGATTGGAAGATCCCTCTACAGTCGACCGACACACCCTTTGCGGCAAATAAAAACGTTCCTGCGTGCAAGGCATCGGCCATTTCCAATGCCCCTGGCCCGAAACACGCTGTGGCATTGCACGTTTGTCAAACATGTACCGTATTTACGACACAAGACAACACCACCCATACGCGTCATGATGAACGCAAAGCATAAACTACTCTCCAACAAGGGCATAAAATAGATAACACCCCGCACAGAGAATACCAACAAGCCGAGAACCGAGTACACAGGATAAGAAAAATGTGTTTACGCCACCTTTCGCAACGTAGGAAAGAACGATTGGTCATCGGCGATCGGTCCTGTGTGAACAACGCCTCTCGAGGACGCGTGGTCAACGTATTGAAGGCATGTACAACACGCACATGCCCCACCCCCCCACCCCCGCCACAGAATGCCACACCCGGTGTTAAGACTAGAGCCAAGTTGTGATCACCGCGATGTGATATCTTGTACCGTATACGGCTTCATCTATAGTCAAGACAGCGTGTCACATCGGCCAAGGAACACTTATGGTCGGCAACTAGGACGAGTCGATCTAGAGATATCCAATACTCGACAACGGGCCCAATGCCGCGCTCGGTTGGCTTCCGCTCAAGGCGGCCGAGTCGATCGCCCAACGCCATACATAGCACCCGCCAGCATGGACAACTTGAAACGCAATTGCTTGACAACCTAACACGCCTCACGTTTGCAGAACCTCCCTTCCCGATCAGCAGCCCATGGTCAAGCTGAACGCCGACGTCTTTGCGGTGTTCCGCAGCTTTCGTGCCGGCAGCAAGCTCCTCCTCGCATGACCCCTACACAAAGCAAGGAGGTGCAGGCGAGGTCGTTGTAGTTCTTGCGCGCCTCAACGGCAAGATCGGTTGGCGCTCTCATGCTCCTCCCAGTATCACGCAAGAGGAAATAAACTTCCAAATATTCCATCAGTCAAGATCAAGCGGCTCTACAGGCATCTTCAGCAACCACACGCCTCAAATTACGTCTGGCGCTATAGTGTTGCCGGTCATGCCGTTGATAATCGACAACAAGTGCAATTAACCGTTGTACACTCGTTTTACAATTAGTGAGCCTAGCGTGCAGTAATACCGTACAAGGCAGAGCATGGTGACATACCATTTGCAGCACGTCTCTCGCTTCCCAGATGCGCAACTCCACGAGCACCGACGGTTTTCGGAGTTCTTTCTTCGCCACCACACCAACCACCTACGACGCACGAAACAACGTCATCAAGGATGGGGCAGGACCAGGTGAGCACAACTGTACCTAGATGACGGAAGGCCCGGCCCTCTTTAGGTTATCCCAGCAAGGTGTGCGAGCGAAGGCGTGTTGATTGAAGATGTCACGATTATCATCTTCAGCTAGCCAGCCGGAGAGGCGAACAGTAGTGGATGGGTACAAAAAGATTGCAGATGACCATCAGAATCTACCCTAACCTCCATGGCAGTCTTCCACTATAATATTCGTTCCAACCCTTCTCCCCTATCCCCTGCCAACCAAAATTTCTGCAACCTACGAAAAACAATTTGTACCCACGCGAGATTCACCTCTGCCAAATTCAAAATCTTTGGGGCGACCCGAAAATTCCATGCCATGAAGTTCCTCAACTCCGGTGTGACCTGACAGAAAGAGACAAAAGGCAAAAGGCATTGAATAGTGTCCGTGGAACCACATGGCGGTTGGCCCAAGAAATGCACAAGCTTTACCCCACACAATACCGAGGGGCTTCACCAGGACTTTGTCTTAGGGTTCACTGGTGAACTTCGCGCGATTTTCGGCAGCAGGGATCGACAGGAGGACACTGGGAACCTAGACCCATATGGCATGTGTCAGCGCTTCCGCCGTTGGGAGTAGGTTCTACGCACCTTGTCGACCATTTCACCGAGCTTGGCGAAAAGCGACTCCGGGCTGTGGGGCTCATCCCTCTTCTCTGCCTGGCATTCCACAAGACACTGATGGACGCGTGATCAGCATCAGGTTAGGGTTAAGTCTGGTGAAATTGCGCATAGATCGAGGATAATTCATGCACGTAACTACACCGATAGCCGCAGGCAGAACCCACAAATACCATACGTAGGTTGCATAGTGGGGCTTTGAAAATCGCCCCAGGGGGTGTGTTATCCCAAATATGACACCTGCGGTAGCTGTAGATCGCCCAACGCGTCCGAGCAGTCCAGAGCTTGGCCTCAGATACTGCGTTTCATATTGCGGGTGGCTTGGCACTGAGTTCGCGTGGCAACTGAACGAACTATATTATGCATACGGTTTGCGCTATTGTTCTTAGGTTTACGGGCGTACGGAAGGGCCTACAATGGCCCACCTTTGTGCAGACACCTAGATCCCCCAGAATCTTGTGCGCCTCTTCCACAAACTGTCTCAAAGATTCTTCTCTCAAACAATCTGCGTAGTTATGGGACATGTATTTCAGTGCAAAAAATGTTGTCTGTCGTTCCTAACAGAACCACGTAACCAATCGGATCGCATGAATCCATAACACGTCATTCTGATGAGAACATCTTCACAAAGATGCCTATCAAACGCGATTTGATATTGACGCTCTACCCGCGTCGATGTTGGGTACAATACAGTTGACGGATTGCGTAGGTTAGTTCACAAACAACGACCGTACCACCTTCACATTGCCCTGGGAACCAAGGCATCGCAAACAACACCGCCCAGTGAAGGTTCAACCAGACGTGTTGTGGATCTATCTTCGAGGACGTCTCGGGGTATCAGTGCGCAGCGAAAAACCCACATGTCACAATGTGATCTATTCTGTCCCCCTCACTCTACAGTCGGCTACTTAAAACTTGTAAAGCGGCTGCCATACGCAGCAGCGCGAAGGTGAACCGTGAACCGAAATCATCACAAATATAATTGTTTGACCACCTTTACATAGGGCTCGTTCCGGAAAAGCTGCCGTCCTTTGGTCACCGCTCGCATGCTCCGAAGGCATAGTCAGCCCTCCTGATCAAAGAGACGGCAAGGTGGAGATTCCACGCAAAAAAAGATAAAAGCACTACAAGCTTGGAGGGAAGTTTTCAGCTCGTTAAATAGAACTACTGTAGCTTTTGAGTAAATTCCACTGCAATACTGAATGACGTTTTCTGGCTCAAGGCCCACGGTTTCCATCCTTGGTTAAGAAAACGCAGACTTCCGGACATCCCTTTCGACTGTGGTTATATCTCGAACGGGTAGTCTTCCTGTGAGATGTTGACTCTCTAAAGGAAAGAAAACGCCGGGGTGAGGCCAACCGAATGTGATGCTATAGCGAACGAGCACCCAGCAATTACACACCAGATACACCAGACCAGTAGCGTTGGACATGAAAAAGCCGGCTGGTTCATGCGTAGGGCGGCAGTGGAGGCCTCTCCCTACAGACCGCACCTAGGCAGTTTATTTTGGCCCAGGCTCGATGCTTATTGGCTGCCTCAAATTGAGCACCTGTTCATATTTCAAGGTCCTTGTTTCGAGCAGGCACATCCGCATGATAAAGGGGGTTCTTGTTCTTCTTTCTACGCCGAGGGCCCCATTCAGAGGACACCGGGTTTTTTTTCTGGATGAACTCAACATTCGTTTTAATAGAACGTCGCTCAACAGAGACCTCTGGACCCGACGTGATTGACCATTTAGAGGTCCACAAGGGTCACGTTCGGCGTGATTGTTCTCCCCGCTCTACTAGCGCCCGTCTTACCCTGGGACCTTTACCCTGCTCTTCGATGGCTGGACCTCCTCCCTGCTCTACGGCGCTCCCCTCAAGCAAAGTCCACGACCCTACCACCGCACCCACCCGCATCTCCACTGTATTTGTCCAACGGCAATTTCATGCGGCACGTACTTTGGTCTAGCTCGAATGCACACGGTAGTCGAAAGGTGGCGGGTACGCTCCGGGGACTGCGGAGTGATCAGGCCACCAAACCAGCCCATACTCAGTTTAACGGGTACTCCACGCTGCAGCAACGAACTGTCAAGAGCAGCGGGTTTAGACTCTTGAATCCGAAAACCGGTGGGTGCGACGAAGGAAGAGGTGTCGGTAAGCTTTCGTCGCCCCCGCGTCGACTCGATGGCCTCCCAGTCTGACTTCGTGGGTAGTTGCCAGCAATGACATGTTCTTTGATGGCCTCGAAATGTCGATCAGGAATGACACCTCTTCCTTTCGATTTTAACAGTTGGCCGAGCTCCTTCAATTATTCAAGGGGTAAAGACATGGCTCTGCGTGGCACGCAGCGTCGCAGGCACCCCAATGTCACGCGACGAGGGGTGGGTATGCCTTGTAAAACAAAGCTAAGCACCTACCCCGAGGTAAAATGTGAACGCGGCTCTGAGTGCTAAGACCGGGTTCATGAGGTTGCGAAATGTCCGTTGCACAAGAAGGAGAGGAAATTGTACACAACTGAGCTGGGAAAAGTAGAAGGGATATACAGGGAGATGTCTGAGGCATGGAATAGCCAGGAAAAGACGGTTGCTGTACTTGGGCATAGAACGTGGGTTGAAGAGGCGGGAAGTGATATCGATAGGATAGATAGGCTAGGGAAAACATTTGAGACACCTCGGGCAAAGTACTGTAGGAAGGACGATTGGCCATCGGTCCTCGGTCCTGTGGGAACAATGCTCCGCCCTCTCGAGGACGCGTGGTCAATGGTCTAACCGCTAAGGTATGCAAAACATAAGAGTACGCCCCCCCCCCCCCCCTCCCTCCGCACCGGTATTATTTGAAACGGAGATCCCCTTCCTCGCCACTGATCTGCAACTGCCGGTAGGTGGGGTCACCGGACACCCGGTGAGTCACCCCTCACCACCTTCATGAGTTCTTATCTTGCAGCGTCCGCGGTTCGGGGGTCTGTTCTTATTTGTTACACAACAAATGCGGGTTCTTGTTCTTAATTAATACCACGTCGGAACTGAGCACGTGTTCTCAGCCAAGTTCTTTTGAATTCTTGTAAGTTCTTAAGCGCGAGCCGTAGGAGCCTAAACGGCGAGTAAGGTTTCTGTGCTAACCCGATATCTTGCAGTTGTAGTCTATCGCTAGGACACCATTGAGAGGCGACGTGTGTGAGTAGGCGCGCTGCACTTTGCTGCTGCTGCTGCTGCTGTGATATCGAGGGCTGTGTTAGAAAAGCCTCGAAATTACCGCTTTGTAGAACTCGATAAACGGTTGTAACAGCCGCCTACGAAACTCCGCAAATTGAACCAGTACCCGGTGTCAACCACTGCTGTAGCTATAAGCTCCGTGACGCAGTTACAACCGTTTCGTTTCGACCCAGAATGCGGAGTGTTTGAGCAACCAACTGCTGCGGCCCTCGATGTCACAGCCCCAAACAGCAGATGTGTGAGCACGCCCACATGCCAACATGCACGTCGCCTCTCCACGGCGGTGTCCTCTAGCCGATCCACAAATCGTGATAATATATTGGATGTACAACCTAGTACTGGTCGAGTTTGAAATTTGAAATGTCAACACGATCTAAAAAGCAGTATCGCAAAATCATCAGATGGATCTTCCATTCCCGATGAATAAATCATGGGAGGGCATCTCCGCCCCCGATGGTGATTTCATCAGGATATTTACGATGCTTTGCCCGCTCTCCCCACTCTCAACTGGAGCACCAACGGCCGACACACACCCCTGTTATATCGCAGTACGGTCGGCACCTAACAGCGCTTCCGCCGCGTTAATATGCATATATATACATATGTAACTTAAAGTATGTATGTTGACGGGTATTTTGTACCAGGTAGTTTGCTGGTACGCATACGCGAACGTCTGCGCAGCTTGTAGCTTCTGAAATTGGGCTCCTGAAATTGTTTTCTGGTGCGTGGGACGCACAAGCACGAGGGCCGGAGTTTGCACGAGGGGTGCTGACACGACTTGCCTGTTTGCACCCGGGGTTTTCCGCTCAGTCAGTCACGTAAACCGAGAAGCCCACCCTTGACCTTTTGCCGAACCCACGGTGACCTCTACGGCAGATCGCGCCTTCGCCTCACAAGAGTCGCTGCGGTGTGCACTCTTTGCCCCTCTTTGCTACTTGCTGCTACTGCTGCTGATGTTGTCCTCCACTACAGCAGGCTACCACGGTCAAATTCTTGTACGTTCTCCCGATGAAACAAACTTCCCCGCAATTTCTTGCACAATATGCCACAATACGATTCATCCCGCGCCACAAACCTAGATCAAAATGTTACACATGCGTTCGGAAATCACGAGGACACTTTAAAACAGTTAAATATCACCATGGAAACCAGAAAGAAAGCTCGAGTTTGCAATGCGTCATCTGGACGAAGTCTCGGCCCTATCGACACGTTGTCTTGGTCGCGTGCCGTAGCCAAGTTGCAGAGCATCATTCGCGAAGTGTACATCACTCAGCAGCAGTAGTAATCTTCATGTGGAGAAAATGGTGCGGATATCTCAACTGGTACTGGCTGCTACGACGTATGCATATGTATGTATGTAGAATATTATATGGATGGAGATTTACTTTGTAGACAAAAACAAACGCTGCTGCTGTTTACCCACCTGGGCTGAGTGTTGAAAGAGGGTGTGTGTGCAGAAAGATTCTTGAGACTTCGGTCTCCTGCAAACGTAAGGCGATGATGACGGCGAAGTTTCGTGGACGAGAAGAGAGAAGAAAGAAGAACTTGTTGTACAGCAGTACTGTACACGATGACCAACCCTGGTCTGCACGAAACAGCTGACTGAATTCCACAAAAACTGGGTCTGGGGTGTGTAACAGCCAGCTAGCTGGTGTAACTGCAGACGGATCTGGGATGGCACACCTGCTGTGACAAAACTGCTGAGAGGTCGACTGTGGACACACAGACCGGATTCCACAACATGAGGAGGGGGGTGTCATGGCTTCCCTTTCCCACCTCACGTTCC